GGAAGTCGCCGTCTTCGTCGCCAATTCCGTTTTCGCCGCCGCCGACAGCGGAGCGCCTCCTCATTGACGACGACTGATTCATTGTTGCGTGGAATGAGATTGAATACCTGTGATTGCTTTTATGTTGAGACTCTTTTCTAGAGATATTTTGCAGATGCGCCCTTGAGCAGATGAGTTTTACTAAGGTTTTACGCGTTTACATGTCAATCTAGTAGGGGCGCTAAACCGTATCCGTATCCGAGAAAATATCTGTAACCGTATCCGTTAGGATACGGATATGGTTACTCAAATCTATAACCAATAGGATATGATTCCGGATATGGTTTTATAGGAAAATATCTATATCTGTATCCGGAATATCCAAATACATATTAGTCAAACTCTTAAGATAGTTTCGATTCCTAGATTATGGATTTGTGGTTAATTTTGATGATCAAGATATCTAATCTTAGTTTTTTAATTATAATGCACATATTAATAAACTCTTTTGTATCCTATGAACTATGTTTTTCTCAATACTATCTAGTTTTCTCACCCGTTTTGTATCCACATGCATAACCACTTATATATACACATGTCTATCTGTAACCGTATTCGATTTTGGCTGATATGGATATGAATTTTCATCACCGAGATATATTTGTATATTGAATGCACCCCTATAGTCTAGGGAGAAAAGAAAAATAAGAATGAGCTTTGTTTTTTTGTTGTATTGTTACATCTAAGAACAAAATATCATAAAACCCCATTATCTTTGGATTATTAACGAAACACCCCCTCATCTTTGAAAATATCTGAAAACCCCCTTAAGTTTAGCGGTTATCATAATACCCCTCTTAAATTTGAAATTTTATCAGGAAACCCAAAATATCATAAAACCCCCTTAACTTTGGATTATTAACAGAAAACCCCTTAACTTTGAAAATATCTAATAACCCCCTTAACTTTAGGGGTTATCATAATACCCCCTTTAACTTTGAATTTTATTAGGAAACCCCCTAATTTAGGGGGTTTACTGATAAAATCTCAAAGTTAAAAGGGTTTTCTAATAAAATCTGAAAGTTAAATGGTGGCTTCGTAATAATTCAGATACTTAAGAGAGGTTTTTGTGAT